GATTACGATTATTATCATTAACACTACTATACATATCTATACCATTTTTCATTTAGTCATTTAGTCTATAGCAACATCACCTTTACTGTCTGTACCGCTGTGTGTATATTATGTAGGCTGCCTCCCTCAACTCTCTCTCCTTCCATCCCTCTCTCTTTTTCTCTCTGTTCCTCTCCTGCCCTCATCCTCTCTCGCTCTCTCTCGCTCTCACTCTCTCTCTCTCTCTCTCTCCTTCACCCCCAACCAGTTGAGGCAGATGGCTGCCCACCCTGAGTCATGGTTCTGCTCGAGGTTTCTGCCTCTTAAAAGGAAGTTTTTCCTTGCCTCTGTTGCCTAATGCTGCTCTTGGTGGGAATTGTTGGGCTTCTGTAAATAACATCACAGAGTACGGTCTAGACCTGCTCTTTTATGAAAAGCCCTGTGAGATAACTGTTGTTGTGATTTGGCGCTATATAAATAAAATTGAATTGAATTGAAATTGACTTGAGGCTACAAAATACTGTCTAGTAAATAAAAGTGCAATTTCCTGTGACAGTTTCCCTGATGGCTGTGATGGTGTCCTAATTGTTTTCATAAAGCTATATTTATAATGCAGACATCATTATGGCCATGATCTTTATACTTTAGTGATTTTGATTTTGATAGTGGGCCTTAAATGTCGAACTCAAACTGAAATTTAAATTCTCCTTACTTTCTTAAAATCATCTGAAGGTTGGTGTTACAAGAAGACAAACTGTCAACTGTGGTAAGCTGCTGACCGGAGCACGTCATAATAGCATATCCTACGAACATTGATACCAGATGTTTGTTTCCCTCTTTTGTCAGCGGTAGCTATCTGCTGTTAGTGAATTGACATCCGTCCCTTTACAACATTCAACATTTGGAAGGACCCATTTAGCGGTTTCATTACATTACATTAACTCATTTGGCACTTTTATCCAAAGTGACTTACATTTGAGAAACAACATACAAGCATCAACAAAGCATCAAATACAGCACAAGATCTACAACTGACAATACATACTAGTAAGAGCTAATAGCACATTGCATCAATGGGGTAAATGCCTAGGGAAAGAAGTAAGAGTTAACAAAAAAGTGCAATCAATACAAGATAATTCTAAGGGGATAGAAGAAGAAGACCAAAGGAAGTGCATGTTAGAGGTTAGGTTTTTCCACTCAGAAAGTGAAAGCTAGCAAGCTAGGCTAACTAGCTTCCATGCTGAAAACCTAGCTTGCTAACTTTAGCACTGATTCCCACTATGCGCTACTTTATGTTTATATAAATTATATATATTTCAACATGGTCTGCATTAGGGCTGCACGATTTGGAGAAAAAGTCAAATTGCGAAATAAAGAGTAGCCTATAATGTTCAGTTAATAGTATACTGTAAGAATAACAATAATAGCCTATATTAATTACTATATTCATTTTAATTTCATATAATAGTATACTATTTTACCACTAGTTGAATATTAAATCCAGTTACAGCTGTTTCATTTCTGTGGTTTTTTTTATCAATTTATTTAAAACTTGTGCAAGAAAATGGCTCTACATCGATCTCTAAGTTGTTAATGGTAAGGACTAACTTGTCAATAATTATATTGTTCATGATTTGAAAGTTTGCTGTAGAACTTTTTTAATGTCAAGCCCCATCCAGGCTGTGATTGGTCGATTGACGAAAAGGGCCTTATCTTCTCCCAGTTTTCTTCTGTCTGAACGCTTCAGCTGCAGACAGCGGCAGTCTCTCTGTCTCTGTCACAGAGCCACATGAGCACCGGCAGTTCTCTCGGTGCTCCGGTGGCGTCTGACTATGTTTTGAATGATTAGCGGTGGGGCGGGGGGGTTACGGTAGGTTTTTGTCTTAAAAGTTACTTGCACACTGCCCATGAATCATTTTTCTGATAGGCACAGTAGGCCCATATGTTTGTAGCGCCACATGCGAGAGCCTGGTGTGGGCGGAGATAATGAGCAGACTGCATCACACACAGAGAAGACAGCATCACACACACCTTTTCTGTTATATGAAATCGCACACTTTTTGCGGTTATGTAATCGCACATGACGCCATCGCAATTGCGATTAGATTAATTGTGCAGCCCTAGTCTGCATCATTGGCAGCACTCACACACACAGTGTTGTTTTTGGCCCATATTTTTCCTTGATGTTGTGATGGCCAATGACCACTCCATACGTTGTCTCATGATACAAATCACAACACAGACTAATCTACGTATGAGATTGCTCAAATAACAGATATTAAGCAATAGCTAACAGTGCCCCCACCAACTGGTTAACTGCCTGTGTGGCCATTGAAGTGGTTTCAACATTCAACTATTTTCAGAGCTCCCACATAGCCACAGCCTATTGCAACAATCAAATTACCAGCACCAACATCGTTAGTCAGAACACTAAAGTAGTGGGCGCTGTCACTGCAGATAAATCATTACAATGTAAATATCTTCTTTTTGGCAATTACAATTTTAAGCAAATAAGTACACAAGTTACAACAACAAACACTGAGCATATAGTACATAAGGGATTTTTTATTTCAGTTTGGTGATGATGAAAATGATTATGTAATTATTATTTTATAATCAAAGCCAACAAAATAACGACGTCAACATTACAGTGAATATAATCTGTCTTCTAAATTGCTCAATGTCTATAAAAAGTGGAGCCAAGTGAAAAAATTTTGCCATCTTGACTCTTGTAAGCAATAAACTGAAGTGGACTTAAGCCGTTTTACTATGATACATTCTCTGTGGTTGTACTTACAGTGTGTACAGATTATTGCCTCTATCACTGCTGGGACAGATAATATGGCATTCTCTGACTTTCATTAACATCCTACACAGCAGCCCAGCAAAGTCCCGGGTGGCTTAGTTACAGTGAGATGCGGATAAAGTTCTCCTCTCTCTTACTGTTAGTGTTCCCTCTGAGAACATGAAGAGAGCAGCCACATAAGGGGATTTCAAGCTGTAAAGTCGGCTGTACAGTGTTTAGGTCTTAAAACAGCATGCAAAGTTGGAACTCATTTCCTTTGCATCTTGTCAACAGAGCACTTATTGTCAGCTCTAAAAATTAACTGTTTGCATTTCTTCAACATCACAAGTACTCATTTTCATCAGGATGTGTTGCAAATTGCGAAGCATGAAAGATTCAAATAAATTTCATGACCAAAATAAATATGCCTCCGAATACAAATAGAGTTCAACGAATCACACTGAATCATGACCTCAATTCTTTAACCTCAAACTGTAGCTGAGCTACAGCTTCTCTCTGAGCCAAATTTCACAGCCCTGGTTACAAAAAAGGCTTTAACATCTCAGCAATGCCTAAAGTCATGAAAAGAGAAAAGTACAACCACATACCCAACTCTGGATGTGAGATTTTGTTTCCCGGTGCGAGTCATACTAGAACGAGCTAGATTTGTCCCTGCATTATTTACAATTACCATTCTCTTTGTAAGCCAGAGTCACATTAATGAATGCATGAGAAGTTGCCTATTTGATGACCACAATGCATGGGGGAGACTCGAGGTACACCGATGCTCCATTTGTGAGAGCTGAATCATTCAACACACACACACACACACACACACACGCACACACACACACACACATACATAAAATACTCAAACAAAGTTTAACGTGCATTATGTGTGTTGTGGAGGGAGTCCTTGGTCAACTTCAAGGAGTCTCAAAGCATTAATCTACATTTCTTTTGTGATAAATGTTTTATTAATCCAACAATACAGAACCAACAATGCCTGCGATTGGAGAAAGTGTTTGGTATATACATTTCAGGTATATATGGTGACATTCAGTTTGAATTTGAGATGAGCAGTGCTGAATTGTAGCCCTTTTAATAAAGTCCTCCAATTCAGCAGTAATGACTTGCCAGGACTTTACTGCAGACGTCTTCGGGCTTGTTCACATATTGCTTGTTTCAGGGAAGATGGCAGATTTTTTGTGGAGCAGACGCTTAATAAATACTATCTGAAGATGTTTTATTCTTCTTTATGCTTATTTTTCCATGAATAAAATAATTTCATAGAGAAATATTTTGAAGCAAAGTTTACTGTCAGCTCTTCAACCTCATCATAATTTAACGTGCTGGAAAACACATTTGTGAAGAAAGATTCTTCTGATTGTGCTGAATGTAATTAAAAAGATTGACCTAAAGATGAAAAATCAGCAATGTATGTGTTTATATGTATTTCACTGCTGCTTATAAACGTCACTGATGTAAACAAAGCTTTAACTATAACTTATTAGTCAGTGTATGTAAAAACCTGCCAGTCATTTTTGGAGTAATAGCAGGGTTCCAGTACTGTTCTTTGAAATTTGCTGGCAGGGCTGTCATTTTGTTTATGCATGGATCACGGACTGTGTCTTTAAGTAAATGCAAAGCTTCAGATGCTTGGGCACACAGACTTTGATATTGACATATCTGCCTACCGAGTGTTCACATCAAGGCACACCACATTGGAGCACAGCACAACACACACAACTCAACAGGACTGTCCACAAGAGCCTCATTTTATATTCATAGTAAAAATTAAAATGGCAATGACAGGCTCTCTCTTTCACACACACACACACACACACACACACACACACACACCCTCTGAGGAGGGAGAGAGGAAATGATGTGCAATGAATATGTGACATCTAAATAAGTTATAGCCGCACATCCTTTCACCAGAGAACATAACAAAGAAACATAGTGAAGCACGTGGACAGATATTACTCCCAGTATATGAATGATCAATCTAACTTGATCGAAATGAAACTAAACAAAGGCCTCTTTAGCTCATCAAATGCAGCTCTGACTTATACTAAACTGAGGAGGAAAGTGCATATGTGTTTGTGGCTGGAGAGTAACAAAACATTTTATCATGAAAACTGAGTTGTGTTAGTAAACCAGACAGAACACTGCTCCTCTCCAGGCAACACGGGAGAAAATGTTACTTGTTTGAAGTGCAAGAAGCCCTCACCTCAGCCACAGGCACTCCCTCTGGGGGACGACAGTGCAACACAATCATGCCATTCAGAGGCACCTCAGTGCCTTGGGGGTCTTGCTCAAAGTTCTTCCTCAGGTCTAGGGAAGAGAATAAACAGCCAGCATTAAAGAACAACTCCAACAGCATGAAGGAGCACGTGTGACCTTCTACCCTCACACACACATGAACACGAAAAAACGCCTTCTACAAAATCATGGCACTATTTTGAAGAATAACCTTTTCGGGGACAATAAGGTCAGTCTGGTATCAAAGTGATAGGGAGTTGCTTACAGGCGATCCGGACAGTTGCCTTGCGGCTCTTGGAAGTTCCCAGGTGACTCCAGGCGACACACAGACACCAGTAGTCCTCTGGGCCGTGAAAGTCCTCCACCTGCTGACGTGAGACGTTGATCATAACTTCACGGATCTTTAGCCCTGCAGACAAGATGGTTGATTGCTTAGATCAGCTTTCATTATATTACAGGAATGATTAATCAAGGAGATGAAGATTTGTAAGGACAGAATGATGAGTGAAATTTGAATCTGATAAGATTATCAGCAGTAAACAGATCTGCCATTTGCCAGGGGGAGAAGGAAGAGGAGAGAATGGTACTACAACCAGGTTCAACTTCAATGCAAATATCTGTGTCATTACTGGTCTTTTGACAAAAGCTTGTTAAAAGTTCAGTTTTGGCAAACAGATGGCCAGCAATGCAAAATGCTGGTCGTACCAAAAATTATTAGTGAGCCCACATAGCCTCTTTCAATATCTGTAAAACATAATCCATTTATACAGAAGTGACACTAAATGCTCTCCAGTGGAGGCATTAACTGAGAGACGGACCAGCCTGTTATTTTTTAAGGGAGAGAGTGAACAACTCATTTTTTGTTTTTGAAAAAAATTGAACTGGCTATAATTTAGAGGTAGAAAAGAAAAGCAAAACAATGCAATTAAATACCGCATCTGCAAACAAATACTTTCTATGACAAGTAAATCATCTATTTTTCTGCAGCAGAACTTTGACTTAATGTCACCCAGGTCATTTGTTAATCTATATATAGTCTGTGATAACAAGCTACGCGTGCATATTCTGAGGCAACTGATGGGAATTTAAAAGCCTGGCATTTCAATTACGCCAGACTATGCACAAAAAGATGACAGGCTTGGACCATTTATGTATAATAGGGTGGCTTTATTGGGTATCTCGGAAATTGCAGCTTTCAACCAACATACTGTGTGTGATGTCTGTCTAGCACGGCAGAAACCTGAACTTCAGTCAGTCAACTTGAATAGATTTATTAATAACTAGAGAGTTATGAACAAGTAATGTTTGTTGTCAAATCTCCAACTTCCTCACTTCCTGCAGCATACAATTAAGAATGCACTGAGGGGCAATGGGGAGTGACAATAACAAATACCCAACCCCTCAAGAAAACCAGTATTCGAGCCAAGGGTACCAGAAAGTGCACTTAAATACTAATACAAACACTGTTTGACCAGCCCATATGTCAGAAATACAACAGAGTGGTGTTCCCATTTACAGTGCAGCCAAACAAAGCCAAACAAACTCATATTGTTTTCATAAAAAAAGTCATATGGTGGAAAAGCACTGGAAAAGTATTTTTCCATCATATGCTACCTTTCGCCTGCAACTCTTTATCTTACTGTCACTGATACTTCTGGTTCCATTACTTCTTGCAACATGTAAGACTGTACAATGTGTTTCAGCAGAATGCTTTTAAAAGAGACCTATTATACTGCATCTCCAGTCCTATACTGTTGTTCTGTACTCCTGTATAGCAGCTTTGCATGATTAAGTTCAAAAGAATCATTTTCTATCTTATACTGGCTCTTCATGCAGGCCTTCATTTCAGCCTCTGTCTGAAACAAGCTGTAGATGCTTTTACCAGGCTGTACAGACAGAGTGAGCGTAGCTGTGCGGTGCAAAGGAATTTCTTTTAAATACTTTAACCTCATTATTTGAAGCTTTGGCCATGTTTAACATGAACATCCAACATTATAACACTGTAGATAAGTCATAAAATATGGAAAAGTACACTAGGTCTCCTTTAATGTGCTATCAGCTGTAGGAAATGTTGGGTTTGCATTAGCAGTAACTTAAAGCTCCGATACGGCTGAGTTAACAGTAATTAGTGAGGCTGATATCAATGAGATAAAATTACCAACAGATGTGCTGAATGCATCCTTTGCTGTAAATCCCTCATGTGTAGAAGGCAATTTGAATCCCGTGCAGGAATGGTGAACTCAAATAATGAAAACTATATTGAAAATTAATTACAGAATGTAAATATATTGAATGACCATAAATAGTAACAAAAGGATCTTAAATAATACAAATGTTACACATTTCTATTGATATTAATTTAATTAAATATTCTATATTACTATTTACTACTACTACTACTACTATTGAAGTGTATGACATTTATGTACCATTTTCTGAAGGCAGTAAATCAATAAAGGTTGCACTTTACACAGATTTTTAGTACAGCTAACAAGTCATGCCTAACAACACATCTCAGAGCAGCTGTTCAAAGATCACTGTAAAGCTTGGCCTCTTGTGGCTTATTGCTTAATTACGCAGCCCTACACTTGTAGAAGAGTTTTCTCTCATGCCATACACTGTAGACAGCAGCTTACGCATGGGCCGGGATTAAATGAAAACTAATAATGTGGAATGAAAGGTTATCAAAGGGAGCCTAATGAAGTAATGTAAAACAGAAATGTTCTCTGAAGACACTGTAATCCTCTGCAATGACTGACTGATATTGTGTACAATACACACACAGTATTCCATCTACTCCTCCTTTCCACCGCTACAAATTAGAGACTTAATCAACATGTCTGATTAAGCGAGAGAGAGGCAGATTTAACAGCAGGGAAATACTCAAGTGAGGGGGCAAATTTGTTGAGTAATATGCAGCGTCATTGGGTTACTTATGTTCAACTCTATGGACCCAAAGCAATAGATGTAAACAAATAATTCCACGGGTCCTTAACAGTTAGACAGCTTTTATTTTGACTCAGTTTGGACTTTCTTTATTCAGTTTTTGAAAGTACACAAATCATAACTAATTGTTAATTAAAGGTTTAATATGTAACATTTTAGTTTAATAATAATAATAATAATAATCCTTATTTGTAGAACACTTTTAAAAAACAAATTACAAAGTGCTTTAACAAGTGTAAAGATAGTTTAGTACTTGTATAATTGCAAATGTTATAATAAACCCACTGATATAACTTTCTGGAAAACACATGATAAAGTGGTCATGTTATGCTCTTTTCACCTGTGTGTTGACTGCCCCCTTTTAGCTACAGAGTGAAGCATCTCAGTTTTCTAAAAAACATTTTTCTCGTCACTGTGTGCGCTGCAGCTCAGTGTGTTTCTCCACTGGTGTTTTTGAGGGTGTGCCTGACTAGCTGCAAGGCGAGCATTATGACGAGTGTTAAAAAGTGATGCAGATAGTTTATGGAAGTAAAGGCTGGAGCTGTTTTCAGGCGGTTCAGGAGCAGTGTATCCCCAGTGTAACTCCCTTTGGGGTAGACTTTGGGCTTTTTCACTTTGCAAACCTTTTACTTGCGCAAAAAAAGATAAATAACACAATAAAGGAAAGGGAAAAAGCCAAAAAGCATAATATGACCTCTTTAATACATTACCTCCTCTCGTGTGGTACTCATGCTATGGCCTTCCTTCAGAACCCTGTGAGCAGTTTTGCCTTTTGCTGCCTGATCTTTGCCTGAAAGTTTTTGATTCTGAGGCTTCTGCCTTAGAAGCTCATGTCCTGTGGGAGATGGCTGCCTGTCTCTTTCGGTGCCTCACCTATGTTTTCTGCTGCCTGTCCAGCTCTTGCCACATACCTGTCTCACAAAGGACTTCAAGCAAGATCTCACTATTGCACATTCTCTGGAATTGTAAATAAACTAAACAGTTATTTTTATTTCTACTCCTTTTCCGTGTTCTGCTGTTTCAGAAGAGTTAAACATAACAGCACATGTATTTAAGAGCAATGGATACATAAATGGAAAACTGGTTTGGTCCATATATGGCCTGGCATAAAGAGTCATACATACAAAACGTACATTTTTTTTTGTAAGCAACTGTTAAAAATAACTAACCTCACACCTCATACCTGTCTTTGATATAACCTCTAAAGTTTAGTGTTTTTTGAAAAGCAATTTCACTACTTGATTGTGACAATAGCCTAAAGCACTTAGGAGAGCAGGGAATGGGTTTAGGCATGTTGTCTCTTAATTCACAATCAGACCTCCTCATCTTTATTAATGAAAAGGAAAACAGAAGAAACGAATGAATAAACAGTCTACTTTTCCTGATGCAATGTTTATGCTGAAAGCAGACAAACTGACTCAGAGGGTGGAGTGAGCTGCAGCTCTGCAGATTCACTCCAAAAGCCCCTTTTTCTGGCACATACTGAGAACATTTCTGACCACTAAACAAAAATAAAATAAGAAAACAAAAAGTGATGCTTTCCATCTCAGCCCATTCCATATTACAATGCGAATAAAAAATATAATTTCAGTTTGCATAAATGTCTATACACATACTGAAACAAGAATATATGAAAAACTAATAAATGCACACCCAAATAGAAGGGTGGCTATTGTTTGTTTGAATAAGGGTCATGGTGTTTCCGCTGAAGGCAAGACAAACAAAGGAGAGACATCAGAAAGACATTCTGACTCCCAGGTTCCCTCACAACTGCTCAGCCATGTTGATGACATGCGGTCGATTCTCCGCATTCAGGAATACAAACATCCATTCAGCTCCTTCCACGAGCCTGTCCCCAGCTGCCTGTTTTCTCTTTTGCCTTTCTTTCTGCTGTGCTCCCTCTGCCTTCCCTTCAGGCTCATGCCAGTGGCCCTTGACAGAGCGCCACAAAGCCCTGACAACAAACCTCAAGGTGGAGCAGCTTCCACTTATCCCTTCAATCATGTGCTTTAATATGGCTCTAATGTTGCCTCTATAAAGGAGTCAGGAAGAGATATACCAATGCTGATGCTCACTTATCCCACATTGCCCTCGTTCTCTCTTTCTTTCTATGTCTTTCTTTTGGTCTGTCTGGCACAGGGCCTGTGGTGTGATTTCTCCCAGCTTTGGCATTGTTTTGCCTTGGCTGAATCTGTGAAAAGGCCCAGAGGGAGCCAGCCACTGCCAGCTACAAGTGGCTCCTGATTCAAGCAGCTCAGCAGATCTCGACTGGTCTGGCAGCTCAATCAGGTCCAGGATGCCTCTGCCGTACTTAACACCACGTTGGATGAGGATTTACAGAAGTCTGTTTGTCTGAGGGATACTCGTGAGGCAGCTGTGTACATAGTGGGTGACACGGCGTGGGCTGTGGGCTGAGGTGGAAGCATATAGCTTTAGGAGCGCGTCTGTCTGATGTGAACTCAG